GGGGGGGGGGGGGGGTAGTCTGATAATTAAGCTATATTGCAACTTTATTTTTTACCCCATCTCCAAATGCATGTTTACAGTATCACACTTCTTAAGGGTGGATATCTGAGATAATTTGCTCCTGATGCATATTTGGTTGGTCAAGTGTTAGTTTCCCACCTTTGTAGCAATACAGCAACTTTCTATTAGTTCTCTATGGTGATGCTTTAACTTGATGTTACTTGCATGTCCAGGTCAATTATTTCCCCTCGAGGTTTGATCCTTGTCGTCATGCAGAGCAGTACCCAATTCCTCCTCGCATCTTGACAGGGAAGCGTGACAGGGTAAGCCTTTGTTTTGTTCATTTCACCTTTAGTATCTTGAGCTTTTAATGTGAAGGATATACTCATAAATAATATTTTCCGAATTGCTTTGGGCCCAAGGTCCACTGTCTTATGGTGTATATATATATATTCATTCTCCACCTCATCAAGGCCTCAACCGCATTCTGCAATTGGAGTTCAAAATTTCTGAGACCAAAATCATGTAATGATGCTTTTAGCAATTTGTCTGTCTGCTATGGTGCTGATAAAGCAGCATTACCATTAAATTAGAAGAATGACTGACTTGCAGTCTAGCAGCTTGGCTTGCATTGGGTTGACGTGTGTGAAAATGGTGTTATTGACACCTTATGGCTCATGTCTGTTATCTGCAAGTTTTCTACTTGACTTGCATCTCTGTTCTTGTTCTTTCCCTTTTTTCTTTTGGTGGTGGTGGGGGTGGTTGTTTTGTTCCGCTTTTATATATTCTTTTGTACTAAGATCTCTACTCTTTTATTTACAAGCCTTCTACTCTGCTGAAATGCTTTTTCATCTTCTTTTTTCTTTTTGTTTGCTGAAATGGATTTTTATCTTCGTTTACAAATAAATTGCTTATAGATTCTTAGGAAGTTCAGCTAGGTGCAGGGGCGTATCTAGCTCTTAGAGTATGGGTTCACGTGAACCCATGCTCCTTTCCCTAAATCATGTATAACAATGTTATATTTCTTCAAAATTACTTAAATATATGTGTGTGCACCCATGCTCAATGACTCCTATGGTGCAATAATTATTGGGTGCACCTCTACAAGTGAAATTTGTGCTTCAAAACCTACTCCAGACGTGCTTTCGACATTGAGTATAGATATGTGAAAATCAATAAAATTTCAAAAAGTATAAATTTTGAACCTATAATTTCAAAAATTTAGTGAGTCCAGGGTAAGAGACTAAAGTTAAACCAGTCAAATGAGAATTTTAGATCTATCTCTCTATAATAGTGCACCCATCCACTTTAAATCTTGGATCCGCCTCTGGCTAGGTGGTTGCTTCGATTTGATAGGTTAAGCTTCACTTTTAAACTGCAGATATCTTAGGTCATTTTTACAAGTTATCCTTTTTATATACAAAATATTAAGTAAGATTCGCTTGCATATATGGTTGTTTTGTAGTGCATCATTGAGAAAGAGAACAACTTCAAGCAGCCAGGAGAGAGATACAGATCCTGGTCGCCTGACAGGTAAATCAGTTGCTTGGTCATTTTATGTTGACCATTTTTTCACTCCTTTAAAGCACTCGGATATATTCTTCTGCCTTTTTGTCGCAGGCAAGAGAGATTTATCTGCAGATGGATTAATGCTTTATCTGATCCACGAGTCACTCATGAGATACGCATTATTTGGATTTCATATTGGTCACAGGTCTCTTTTTCTTTCCTTTATCATGTTTCTTTAGTCATCTCTATCGTGAGAGTGGTAAAACATGCTCAGTAATGCTTTTGCATAAATATGTTGCAGGCTGACAAGTCTCTTGGTGAGAAGATAGCTTCTCGTCTTAATGTAAGGCCCACAATGTGAAGGTGACAACAGTAGGAAAATGTTTGAAGTTGCTGTGCTGAAGGAGTACCAGTCCAAGAAAACATCCTTTTCTTTTGGTACGAAGTATAGGTCTGATGATTGTGTTGTAATTTGTACCAATGGTTGTGTTGTAATTTGTACCAAACAAACTTCAACATGTCACATTAACTGTGACAACGTTGCCGGAATAAATTGCAGTTGTATGTTCTCAAACATCAGTCAATCATTTTCATTTTATCCTTCCATGTTCACTCTCAAGTTCACCAGTTAAGTAATTGCTGTTTTATTCCAAATGACTCTTTGATAACTATAGTTCCACGGCTATTTTGTGGTTTCTTGACAGATCATAAGAGCTGTAAAACTGATTTCTCTCCAAAATTTACCTAATGCTTGTGCCATTATCAAGTGTCAAAACTCTAGCAGAAGATTCTGGTAGCTCCTCTACAATTTTCCAAGCGGAGAAAACAGAAGGAAAGGAAAGCATTATTTAACAGGGGAAGTCTGCTCCTTTATAGATGTTGGAATGGCATAAACGATGATCATGTTAATTCAAAAGGGAGAAATTAATACATTGGAAAGGTAAGAAGATGTGCGTCAACTATTATTATGTATCGGATCAGCTATCCAGCAACGTACCTATTGCGAAGTTTTTCACCCTTTTACATACAGTCCTTCCGCGGACCTATGTAAATGCATGATGCTTGCTGCCTTTTTTACTTTAAGTAAAGGAAAAGGAAAAGAAAGCAACTCAGAGTTAAGTTTCATTGTGCCTTCTTTTTTGTGGGTTTCTTATGAAATAAAGGTAACAAGATCAAATTCATGGGCAATGTTAGTGTTAGTCAATTTTGGTGGCTACATGAACCGCATTACGGGAATAATTGCTTAACGTGGCCACCATATCGAACAGTACGTAGCATAATGCTTCTAAAATCTAAATATTCAATTTGTTGTGTGGGTTGGAATCTATTGAACGTCACTTTCCATTTACTGATCCGGACATAAAATACATTGATAAAGGTAAAAATTACTTATTCTATAAAATGACGTCAAAACCATTTGTGCCTTCGAAGGAAAGTGAGTATCTCGGAGTAACGGTCAAGTTGTGACTTATAAGTCATAGGTGTGAACCGTGAAATCGGTCAAGTTGTGACTTATAAGTAATAGGTTTGAACGATGAAATCAACTACTGATACTTGTATTAGGATAGGTTGTCTACATCATACTCTTTATCAGTACGGCCCTTCACCAGTGCTTTGTTCACCAGACTACCTTTTTAGGAAAGTGAAAGTGACATCATAAATTACCCGTACTTCACCGGTGCTTTGTTCACCAGACTACCTTTTTAGGAAAGTGAAAGTGACATCATAAATTACCCGTACTTCACCGGTGCTTTGTTCACCAGACTATCTTTTTAGGAAAGTGAAAGTGACATCATAAATTATAAAAAGGAAGGAGATGATCATGGAGCATTTGTTTGTTCTTTTTATAAAGGGGAGAATCTAGTAAGCATTCATTAGTGACAAGTGACACGAAGTCACGTGCAATGATGCCAAAGAATGTAGTCCACAACTCTGCAGTTTCATGTTATACATATTCTTTTATTTCCATTTCGCTTTCACATTTGACAAAGAAGCTCAACCAAGTTGTCTCCGATTACTTAGGTATTATCTATATTTTCACTAAATACTGCTTTCTATTACTCAATCGATGTTCATACCCTTGCAATTTCGGAATGTGTCTAACTCTAATACCATAGTAAGAAAGGGACCGTAGATTTTAACTTAAATCCCAATAAAGCTAACTCATGTAACGAGAATTACCAAATACCAAATGAGTAGATTAAATATTTTATCCACGCTCAATGTAAGATTCTACAAAAAGTATAAGACTAATGGTTGAACCCTTGGATCAACAATAAAGTTATTTCTAAAACTTCTAGGCCACGTGTTCGAGTCGTGAGAACAACCACTAATAATTGTATTAGGTTAATATGTTTATATCACACCCCTTGGGGTGCCGCCCTTTCATATACTGTGCATGAATACGGGTTGCCTTGTGCACCATACTGGTATTTTAAGTGATGGCTGGGATCAAACATGGTCCTAAATTACCTGCAAGTAAAGGTTTTTTCTCATTTTCTGAGTATGAAGTGGCAAACAACAAGTAATTAAAGTCCTACTCAACACACTACTACTCCACCAACCCTGAATAAGTGGCAAGTGATGACCAAAAAAGTGAGAAAGAAATGCATTGTTTATACTTTTTCATTTTCAATGCATATGAGAACGAAAAAAAAAATTCAAAAGGTTTACTACTTTCTTTAATTTATTGTCTAAAATCCACGAATGCTTTTCTTGTCAGCATTTTCTCTTTTTCTTCGTTATATTATATCCTCAGTTTATGGATTTGGATTAGTGATTTGAAGTTGACTTTGTAGCGGTATTCCAAAGGGGTTGTGGGGCCTGTGCTTGTTAAGCAGAATCTTCTCTTTGTTGGCAGACTAAGCTAAGAGAGAATCATAAGAGTTTGGAATCACAGATAATAACTAGGAAAGAGAGAGGTTGTTTGGACTCTATGATTTGTGGAGAGGATTTCTAGAGGGACAACATTAAAAGGGACAGTCAGTTCAGACCCTACACCCATATTTATGTTGTTCTTGTTGCTGCTTGTCAGACAACCACATGTAGTTTTTGGAAAATACTATAATTTTCTTGCAAAGGTTACATTTTTACTACATATAGGAACAGGAAAATTCTGATCTTTGGAAATATCCATAAAATCTTTTCATAGTAAGTTTCTCATCTCTAGATTGATTGCTCTTTTGTCTGTGATTTAACTTGCTTTCTTGACTAGGCTGCAATTTTTATTGCTTTTCTGTTTTTTTTTTTTTTTTTTTTTTTTGCCTTCCCTGTTGAAGCAGTTACTTTTAGCAAATTGGCTTTATGTCTCATTGTAAAACTTTAACTGTATTTTTGAAAGTTAGAGGGGTTACCAGTGTTAGATCCTGTTGGGACAATCTACTGAAAAGACACTGTTCACTTTCCTTGTTTTGTCCTTAGTTCTTTCAACTATCTTGTGTTTGATTTATTGTTGTATAGATCTATGTTTTAGTTGTAGCTTTTTATTTCTTCTAATTTTGACTTATAATCAGGTCTATCGGAAACAGTTTCTCTACCCTTCCAGGGTAGGGATAAGGCTGCCTACATCCTACCCTCCCAGACCTCACTTGTGGGATTATACTGGGTGGTTGTTGTTGTTCTTGTTGACTTATAATCAGATATGTAGAACATAATTAGAAATCCCCAAGTTGGTAAAATATGTTGGTTTTTACTTAAATTCGATTGTAGAGCAAATACATACACAAATATTCCTCCTTTATTGCTATTTGGACTTATTTCCTTATGCTTGCTTTATAGCAGATCTCAGTTAGAGCATCTATTGGTAATTTGGCAGATTTGGTTTTGCAAAGCTGAAGTCTTTTAGATAAAGACTGGTTACCAGAAATTTGGGTCTAGTGACATTTTGATGTCAATGGATGAAAGATTTGTTGTAACCAATACTTTCTTGACTACACAATTTGATGCCTTCATGGATTTGGATTACATGGATGAACTGTTGTTAGAAGGGTGCTTTTTGGAGACTATTGATGATCGTGATTTCGTGCATCATAGACCATCCATTTCCAATATGCCGTTTGACTCTTCATTCGTGTGGCCTACTTTATTAGATACCAATGGTTTCGAATTTAGTGGAAGCCCATCGAAAGATGGCCAACAAGAAAGGCAAAGGTCATCTTTCTCCAAAAATTTATCCATAAGCCAATTCCAAGAGCTAAATTCAGCTAAAGTTCAGTCTTTTGGTGATAATTCGATTAATGCCATGTGCAGTTCAGGTCAATCTGAAAATTGTTTATTTGACGCTCCTGAACTGAGCAGGAGGTGGTGGATTGGACCCAATGCTTCTTCATCTGTAATGGACAGATTGATTCAGGCGCTTGGATACATAAAGAATTTCTCCAAAGACAAGGATATCCTTATTCAAATATGGGTACCCATATACAGGGATGGAAAACGCGTACTCTCTACAAATGATCAACCTTTCTCGCTGGACCTTAATTGCCCTAGGCTTGCGCACTACAGACAAGCGTCTTTAAGCTATCAATTTCCTGCAAACGACGATTCTAAAGAGATTGTTGGATTACCGGGCAGAGTTTTTCTGGATAAAGTTCCTGAGTGGAGTCCTGATGTTCAGTTCTTCCAAATGGAAGAGTATCCGCGTGTTGGACATGCACAGCAGCATAACGTACGAGGCACCTTTGCTGTTCCTGTGTTCGAACAAGGCAGTCATAACTGCTTGAGTGTTATTGAAGTTGTCATGACCACACAGAAGATCAAGTATGGCTCTGAGCTTGAAAGTGTCTGCAAAGCTCTTGAGGTTTGTCATTTCTTTTACCTTTTCTAAATTTATTGTTTCCTTAAATTGCTGGAATTTTATGGTCTGAACAAGCACTTACAAATATTGGCCTATTTCTGCACTTCACTGATTTCTTTGATCATTATTGCTCTTGGTTACCAGATAAAGTTAATTATAATACTGTCTCATAAGCTGCACCTCTCGTTGAAAGACTTTTTGCCTTAATTTCAATGTTTATGGATCTTGCTTTTGTTATGCAAATTGAATTGATTGTTTGGTGTTCTTGTGGAAATGAAGTCAATCTTCTGTTTTCTGATGGTCTACCAACAATTTGCTTGTTGATAGGCTGTTGATCTTCGGAGTTCTGAAGTGTCAAGCACTCTGTCAGCGAAGGTAAGGGCAAAACTTGCAAAAAGTATGTGCCTTTGGTTACCATGATTTCTTCTGTCATAATATGTGGGATAATTTTGTCAGGCATGTGATTTGACCTACCAAGCCGCGTTATCTGAAATTCTAGAGGTTCTGAAATCTGCATGCAAGACGCATGGATTGCCATTAGCTCAGACTTGGGTACCTTGCATTCAACATGGTAAAGGGGGTAGCCGCCACTCTAATGAAAACCTTGTTCGTTGTGTTTCCACAGAAGATTCTGCTTGCTATGTAGCTGATCCTCGAGTTCAGGGTTTTCATGAAGCTTGCTCTGAGCACCATTTGCTGAAAGGTCAGGGTGTTGTCGGGAGTGCATTTATGACGAACCAACCGTGTTTTACGTCTGATCTAACTTCCTATAGCAAGGCAGAATACCCACTTTCTCATTATGCAAGAATGTTTGGATTGC